TTCAACTAGTGTTTTACGTTTAGAATGCAAAATGCCGTTGAAGGTGCATGTGCTGAAGCAGGTGCTAGAGACTTAGTTGTTAGTGGCGATGGAAGTTGGCAAAAACGTGGTTTTAGCAGTCATCATGGTGTTGCTGCTGTCATATCCAGCTCAGACGTGCCTAAAGTAATACGCTTTAGAAGTGTTTGTCTTAGATTTATAATACTCTGTCCTCTATAGGTACTTGATATTGAACGATTATCAAAACGATGTACAGTTTGTGATGGTGCGAAGAGTATAAAACAATCTGATCCACTAAAATTTGAGCAAGTCATGAGTACCCACCAATGTCAACTGAATTATAAAGGCTCTTCCGGTAAATTCCTCATACTCATTTTGTCTTTCTGATTTCTGACTATCTAATACTCGTAGGTGCTATGGAAATGGATGGCATCCATCGTCTCTTCTGTCGTTCTATTAATCGATACAATGTTCGATATTCAAAGTAATGTCTAAGCAGTGTGGAGTGAAGTGTGTGCTTTCATGATTTATTTTGCAATCATTTCTTTTACGACTTTTCATTTCGAATTAGATAAGTAATTCTACTTTTGTGAACTTTTCTCGATTGATACACGATTCTTTGTGCCTCTTCGTTTTTGTTGTAGGTATATTGGTGATGGCGATACGAAAACGATGATGAAGCTGCGCAATGAACCACCATATCCAGATTTAATAGTGGAGAAAATCGAAGATGTCAATCACGTGAGCTCAAAAATCCTTTGCTCGTCCTAAACTCAACCTTTCTGTAATTTTAGTGGTGTAAAAAAATGCAGCACCGCCTGGAGAAAGTCAGAAATGAAGTTAAAAATGAGTTAATTGATGGCAAAAAAGGAATCTCTGGTTCGAATCGTCTAACTCAAAGTGAGATCACAGTTTTCCTGCGCGTTCTATCTTTATTAACATGCATCTTTGTACTAGATATGATTATTAACTTTAAATACTATTATCGTCAAGCAATTATTCGAAATAAAACGAATCTTGATGACATGGTCAAAGCTGTATGGGGAATTTATAAACACAAAGTAAAAAGCTCTAAGATTTATATTACTTCATAAATAATTGCGAAAATTCCATCATTTTAGGCATCCACAAATTCAGATCCATATCATGAGTGGTGTTCACCATCGTATTGTGGTTTTTGGAAAGCACTCGAGAAAGGTATCAGCAACTGGAAATATTTGGGAACGTTTCAGATAGCAGATTCGTAATTTTCTAGGAGAAGAGTATGATCATACACCACATTCTCTTTCAAAGGGAGTAATGAAAGCTATCCGACCTGTCTTCGAGGAACTAGCTTCCCGTAAGTGTGAAGTTCAGAAACGTGAATTCAACTTTTTGCAATATTCTTTGATTGTTATAATTTTTTATGCTATGCTTTACATTGTTTATTATTTTGTTTCATGCTACTATTCATCAGATAAGTGCCAGCTACTCTTATTTTCAAAACCCAATGGTGCTTTGACTGTTGCTTTTTTCTTCTTTTTTACCATAGACGAAAATCTTTCTCGAGTTTTAAATGGATCCACTCAGAATCCCAACGAATCTTATCACTCTTTCCTATGGTCAATGGCACCGAAGAATCGTCCCTCAAGTGGCACAATCATTGATTTCTGCGTAGCACTATCTGTCATCGTTTACAATGATGGTTACCAAGCATTGCTACCGCTTTTTGAGAGTCTTCTTGGTATGAAATTCAAGAACTATAACAACAGTTTGTATTCGAAGTTTTATATCTTTCAGGATCCAGTGGTACATTCACTTGTTCTATATTTCAACGATTGGATCAACAACGAGCCACTCAGGAAGCTCGTAAAAAGTCACAGTCAGCTTGCCGCTCAATGAATTCGTTATCAAGTGTCAATAAAACGCAAGAAGAAGTGGATGATTCCTACGTACCTGGCGCTTACTAAAACAGTTTGGAAATGTTCATGAAATTTTTTTTATATCGCTCTAATAAAAAATAGTAATTTTGAATCTTATAGTTTTGTTGTAGCCAAGAATATGAAATATGAGTACATGAATGTTCTATTTGAATCCGGTTACACCGAAGACAAAGTTTCTTCGGCAAACATACATTGGGAGACCGTGAACGATTCCTTATCTGAAACTGTACTTTGAATAACGGTTTCTTGCTATAGATAACAAGATAATTTTGTTTTACTACCTTTCGTTCTTTCTAGATGAATCTAAACAACTTCAAAATAGCATATGATTTTCTGAAAACAATGTTTCAAAAACGAAACGTTCCTTTTCCGCCCGATCTCGCTGCAATTCTTGATATTCCACCATCTGCAACTCAAAAATCTTCGCAAGCACAACCCACCAATGGCGATGATGACGACAACAACGAAATGTTTTCTATCGACAACGATAATAACGAAAGTGCTGACACACACAGCGACGTTAGTTTAGAATATGAATATCACTCGTCTGCTTTACTGTCAACAACCGCTTCTCAACAACAACTAAATGCACTAGAAAGTGCAGAGGACGTCGAGAATCGGCACGATGTGTACCGCCAGTTATATGTTCTGGTTCTTCGTCAACGTCAGCAAAAACAATTAACTTCGAAAAATTATGAGACGTATGAGTGGCCAGCCTTGATAAAACAACTTATAAGATGCAGATTTCCGTCAGATATTAAGAACTATGATTGTTATAAACAACCAGATGTTGTTTTTTCAGTAGAAACTTTTATTGATTTATTTGCACAATAAACAATGAAATGCTGTTTTTTTTCTCTTGCTATCTCAAAGAGTATGCTCCCGCTGTGTTCAGCAGATGCGCAATCGAAAGTAACCTATACATTTTTGAAATGAACGAAAATAAATGTAAACTAACATTGAAAATCGCTAAAAATCTCTTTTTTGTAGAAAAGGGCGCCAAAAATCTGGTTTTTAAAACCCACCATATTGCTCTAATTAATTAATATCACAGAGCATGTGTGTGTTTCTCATTAACAATCATCTAGAATTTTGTTGACCACTGTTACATCTCCGTAACTAAGGAAATTTTGTGAAAAAACGGTATATTTCTACTACCGGTCCCAGAAAACCGCTATTTTCACCTCCAAAAACCATTCAAACTGCAGTAAATCGCACATAATCTGAAAGAGGACACTCTGAGCTTTCAGCATATGTGCTTATCTCAAAATCGATTTTTCTGAAAAAAATCGATTTTCTGACGGGGGGGGTTCCCCTTAAGTGATAATAAATATATAGGCATTCATAAAAGAGTACGAAACACGTTCAAAAAACAATTTGATTAAACATGGCGAAGAAATCCATTGTATTGTTCGAGAAAATATAGAATTTCAATGACTTTTCTTCGTAAAATAAATTATGTGTTTTATAAAAGTTGAAGAATAACGCAGGTCATGTGTTGTTTTTATTGATTAAAATCAGTCAGAAAATATGTATTCTGAATTTCTATTAATAATCATAGTATCGAAACTTTATGAATATTTTGACAAAATCGAAAAGCATTTCCAGTCTCAAGAAAATATTAAATTTCATCTGCTTTTTTTATTTATATGGTTTACAAACTTGATTTTAAAATATTTCGATCAATCACCGAAAGTAAAACTCTTTTGATGATATTGGTAACAATGCACAATGATCATATTAATTTTCGTTTGATTTTACTATTTTGATTCGAAACTATGAATAAATGAAAAGATTCAAATCGATACTCTATTGTTGAACACTCGAATAACTGTATTTGAAGTTTTGATAAATTAAAGATTTTCGAAACTCAAATGGAACTTTTTATCGGAATAGAAAGAAAAAAAAGAATTAGGTTATGATGACGTTTCCAGAATAACACAAAAATTATTGATTATTGAAAAGAAATTTGTTAGAAAATAAAATTTCACAATAAAAATATTGGTCGCACTCAAATAAAAAAAAAATACTGTATCATAGTTTCGAATAAGTTCCAATCTTCTTGGTCATTGTTGATAGATGCCAATAGTGCTACATCAACGAAAGATATTTACCAAATCACTCATTTCGTTGTAATAATACAGTTGGTTGAGTGGTAGTTTGTTGAGCCCGTTTTTCAGTTTCTTGTTTAATCATATGTTGCTGGATATTCGTTGGCAGCCCGGGATTGAGATTTAATGCATATGGCAATAAGGTCTTCGGGATATCACTAAAGTCAACCATTATTTTGATAAACATCGTATTATCTCGAACGTACGGATTTCCCTCCTGTTGGATCGTAGTCAACGGAAAAAACTTCGGTATACCACTTGCAATGTTCATTTCAGATCGTGGTCGCTGGAAACTACTCGATCTAATGTCAGGACGAAATGAATCAATGATATGTTGTTGTGCCGGTGTTTGATCGTATAAACAAAATGTGACTTTGTAGTTGAAGGGAAATTTCAAGATTGCATCGTTTTTGCCTCGCATAAGCACAAAAAAGAGAGACATATGTGTTCGACGAGCATTTCCATCACCATTCAGATATAAACGTGCACGCATCTTATACCCATTCGGAGATGAATAAAATGGAGGAGAATAGATCGAAGTTTGTCGTTCAGATTCAGCATCAACTATAAATAAATATTTTAATAAATCACATTTTCATAAACCATCAATCGACAGTTAAATAGAGCAGCTGTATAAGCAAAATAGAACATAGTAGGAGCCTTACTGATTTTCTCTCTAACGGCAGTTACCTTCCATATAAAATTTCCATCATAAGAAACGAACTGTAGGTCCTCCACTTGTTGTTTTAATGATGCCACATCTTGATGAAGAATTTCTTGATTAGGTTTGATTCCATCGAGAAAAGTGCTCTGTTCTTGAATGCTCAGTTTGAGTACTGCCATGCCACGGTTTAGAACATCTGTTTCATTCTTTAGTACTAGAGAGTCAGTACTGAGACGTTGTATATCTTCATTCAACGTTTGAATTCCTCCAACGAGAATATCAATCGTTTCATACATTTCTTGATATTCGACATTGATGTTGTTTATATCAGGTTGCATTGTAATTGTAGTAGCGTGGGGCGCGATATCCATATCCATACAAGAATTTTGTTCTTGTCTGTTACCTTTTAATTTGAGTATTAGATGACGCACCACAGTGATGATTGCATTTTGATGTTGTTCTGTCATATAATGAGTCGACATTTGAAAACGTAAGACCGGTTTCGTACACCCAAAATCTTTGAGAGCACAATATACGGTGAACTTATCGCATTCATTTAATTTATGTTGTTCGAGACTATTCGTTGAATCGAATTCTTTGCCACAATATTCACATGCTAGATTCGAATGATTTTGTATTAGATGAGCCTTAAGAAATTACACATTACTACAAAACTATTGTTACACGGTAGAATACTGAAAACACTTTTCAGAAATATCGTCCTTAGCTAGTCAGTTTGTTATTTTGTTTCATTGTATTGATGTTTATAGATAGATGAGCCCTGTAGGAAGTAGAAGATATACGTTATATGTCGAAAGATAGTGCAAAATGGATTGCTCTAATGCAAACATCAATAGTATTGAAATTCATGAATCAATATCGATATCATATAATATCAAGCTAACTGGAGTTGGAAAGACCATTTTAGTAGACAAAGTATTTGATTATTGGGTATAATCAACTATTCGACCACATTCATTCAGTCAGACATTATGCTTCGTAGCGATCTGTCCAACGCATATAGAAAAATAGAGTATTTTAAAAGAAGCTTTTGTATAGAATTTTCATGAAAATATAGAAAATATATAGTTCGAGATTTTTATCAATAAGAAGGTTTTTTTAAGAGAATTGCCTTACGTTGCAATGTTCTCATGGTCATTAGTAGTGATAATCAAAGTCGTCAACAAAAGTATAAAATAAGTCCATGAATCCCTTGCTGCAAAAATTCTAAGTAGTTCGATTCGATAAAATTTAAAATGAAAAAATATATCTATTTCAATCACTAACAGAGATTGAGTAATCTCTTTATGAAAAAAAATACAAGTATAATCGTAACAAAAATCTATACAATAAACAGTTGAATTCATTTAAACTATAGTTATACTATTCAACTTTCATAGTTATTGATGCTTATGAAATTGAAAAGCTGTATATACAATTAGGTGAATGAATGATAAAAAAAATCCCTTTCAGTTAAGACTGATAATTCAATTACTTAGGGTATACCAAAAGTTCTGATCACAGTTTTTAAAATTTAAT